GTTAACCAGGACTGCTGATAGATGATGGAGAGCGGCTTGACTAGCTCCTCCGCCAGCTCTCTCAGCACTCTCGGGTGGATCCCATCCGGCTTGTGAGCATCCAGATGACGTAGCAGGTCATTGACCGCTTCCTAACATCTGATCCACCCCAGATGTTCAGAAACTTTTTATCTGCTGAAAGCCTGGTGATGACATCTCAACCTTCATCTCTAGTATTTTAAACTTATTTTTAATTTTCTGTAGAAAAGTATGGCTACATCTAAGTCACATACACATGAGGGTGAAGAGACTTCTGCCAGCATTATCTGGTACAATAACAATAAGTTCTTGACATTTGTCCATTGAGAATCTTAGATTTTGGAATTTGGGGAGATGCATGTATTAGTTCTTTTTTTGATCCTTTTGGGATGTTCTTCATCACATTCTGGCTAGTAAGTGTTTGAAATCCAGTGCTTTCTAGCACTTGGAAAGAACTTTCCCTTTAGTTAGAAGCTTTGACTGCTGGAAACAGTTGAGGAAGAAAAGGGTTCTGTTTAGTATGCTAATCGTAACCTCCCCGATATGAATAATTCCTTTACTGTTCTTCCTCATCTGCTAGACATCTCAAAGTCACAGCAGCATTAAATGGACTTAGTTTCTCATACTTTGTGGTCATTTTCAATGGGTAATGAATTCCCTTAATTTTATAAGGCAAAGTGATTGGGAGCATATGTTGGAGAATTATAAGCGATGACTTCTAATCCTCCTTTTTTTGTAACTATCTCTTTTCTCTATTTCCTTATCTGTAAATTGAAGCAATCTAAACAAAATCTTTGGAGTAATGTAAAAATCCCACAAATAAGATCTTGAGTGCATACCTGTCCTAATTAGTTTCAACTTTAATATGGCTAATTCTGCAATTCTGTTTTAAGAGTCAGATCGTATTCTTACAGAAAGGATGTTGAGACAGGCTTACAGCACACGGTTTGGGGGGAGAGGAAAGGGGAGGGAGATCTCATGGTTAAGTTATTGGGGGTGGGGGCAAACAAAAAGTTACAGTAAAAGAGAAAAGGGATGGAAAAGCATTCCCATCTGAGCAGAGAAGTGATGGAGTTTCTCAGATGAATGTCATCTCCTTGGTTTCCTCTCCAGCGTAGCATGCGTTCCCTGTAATTTTTTTATTTTTAATTTTATTTTATAGTATCTGTATAATTTTCATCAGCATGTGCCTGATCTCTCTACTGGTTGTTCCCACCTGTGATGCTGTTAGCGCTGCTTAGAGCACACTCTGGGCAGGGCAAGTGTTGAACACTGATCAGTTGTTATGGTTTGTGTACACATACTGTTGTGTAATGCTTACAGGCATTTACTGGAGTATTACCTACTATGTAATGCCATGTCTCTTTCCCCTCTAGTGTAAGGCTATAAAATAGAAGGTATGAAACAACGTGCAGAAAGAGTGGGGTAAAAGAGTAATTTTCATACCAGTGACAATCGCTTCCCATGGGAGACCTGATGTACCGGATCTAGCAGTGTCTCAGGATTCACAAGTGCATGACCATGAGAATTAATGTGGCTGGCAGAAACAATAAGGGTAAAATCACTGCTATAGCCATCTTCGAGTGCCTAGGTGGAAGGGTGCAAAGTTGTGAGTGAGAGGCCAACTGCACAGGCCCTTTGCGTTACAAAGGTTAAGGTGGTGTGCAACAGCAATGCTAAGCCCTACAGGTACATAGCTTTCTGAAGTCTGATGTACTACTTTGAAGTAGCATTTCTTAAGCCTTGTGAGTAAGATGATGCTGAATTGCTAATGCTTCTTTCAAAATAGGGAATTTCAACTTCAGTTTTATAGTTTTCTGAGTATGCAAGTAGTAGTGGACAGTAATAGCTGTTTTCACTGATAACTGTAGCAAGTTTGTCATCCACATTTTAAATGTAATCCACTATCTGTAGGTGCTTTTGGTACCTACATTGCTATTTTGCCTATGATGTAGGGCCCAAAAATCCACGAAGGAGATTTAACCATAGTACATGAAAGTAGCTCTTAATAGCAGTGCTGAAATGTACAGGCATTTTTTATTTTTAACTATAATCTTCATGTGTGATTCCCAGGGCTCTAGCAAAAGACTGTAACAATAAACCTCTTGTTCTATTTTCTAGTGTGCTCTGAAAGTCTCTCTCTCTCTTATATAGGAAGACTTGTGGTAGTGGTCTCTTGAAAATGTGCTTTCTGTAATTTATACTTTGTACTTACATACGGTACTATTGTTTTTTCCCCTAGTTCATCATTCTTGTTGTTGACAGCATTGACAGAGAGCGACTTTCTATTACAAAAGAAGAACTTTATAGAATGCTGGCTCATGAGGTATGGTGGGGAATTGGGATAATAGTTTTGTTGTGAACAGTCAAATAACATTACATGCTTCCTATGTTAGCAAAAAATTATACTGTCACAAAAAAATTTCTGAGCCTAAATGTGCATGCATGTTGGTCACATTTTAAAACCATGTAAATTATAAATAAACAGGAAAAATTTTATGAAGCAATCTTCTAATAGGGCTTGCTTGCTTGTAATCAAATCACTCTTTACTTTGCAAATGTTGAACTTGTAAAATATCTTAAACTTCATACTAATGTAACTGGGTATTGTTGTTCTCCACCACTATCTCTATTCTTAAAGTTAAATGGTTAAAATTTCATGAAACTTTTTTTTTATTATTTTAATTTTTATTTTAGAAAGTAGGCAATTCCATTTCTCTTTCTTGTTTTAATCTGATTCCTTAAAATTAAGGAGTGTATCTAATACTATGGATAAATTAGTTTCAGTTCAGTTTCCTTTCTGAATGGTTTGGTTTGTAGTTTTATTATATGTTGTATTGATGACTGTTCAACATTGGGTCAACTCCCTCAAACATCCTAAATTAACATCTACATTGGATTAGCTAAAGTACATTAAAACCTTCTATGATCACTCTCAAGCTAAGTTAGGGTTGTTTTAAATCTAAATATCTCCCTTCATTTTTGAAGGAGAGGGATTTAGTACAATGCAAGTAATTCCGTGGAGTTCATCTCTCTGAGAGATTTGCATTGTTTCAAATGAGTGAGGTTTTTACTTTATAGTTAATATTCATGTAGTTTGGGTCTGGTAGTAAGGAGCAAATACACTACCAAAAAAGGTGGAAAGATGACTTTCTGTGGTGAAGTTTTCCCATGTAATTTATTAGTTTCCAGTGTTAAACTCTTACGAGATTGTGATCTACCATCTCTTGAAAACAGTCGGTAGGCCTAGACTGGACTACTTGTAGGAGTGAATTTTCAACTTTGGACCATAAAGGTTTGGGTTTTTTCCTCTTGATGGAGAAATAGTCTCAAAATTTAATATACATTTAAATGTGTTGAACACTTTTAGTTACAGCTGTCAGCTTCCTGAGTATTGCATTTGTTTACCCTTCTGCACTCCTAAAACTATACATCCCAGTCCTTGTCTCATTGCTGTGTGGAATCCTAATTTCCATACAGAAACAAAACAACTTTCTATTAGTTTCTGTTTTTACTGAAGCTGCTGAAGCATTACTGGAGCTCCCTTTTTGGAACAATAGGATAAAGCTTAGAAGAATTTAGATAGCTTTCTTAAATTGTTACTGCTTTAATCGCTACAGAAATTGTTTAATGAAGTTGAAAGTAATTTCAAGGGAATGATATCTAGCAGGTTTTTCCATTTGAATAGTACCTAATGTAGATTTTTGAATGTTTATCCAGTAATAATTGTGCTGGCTGGGTGGTTTGGAGCTTTACGAAATATATTTTAAACAAGACTTTCATTAGTTAACATAGGAACATGTGGTCAACACCAAAAGGATAGTCGTGTAATACATTATAATTTGATTCTCTGTGGTGCAGAACACTTCTGAATAAATTGGTTTCCTCAATCTTGATGTAATTAATTTTTAATGCAGTAAGTCTTAAAACTCCATGCTGCTGTGGAATTGTAGATTAGCTTGAATACAGTTCTCTTAAGAACTTCAGTTAATGCAATAGCCTTTTAGTTCTTTATAATAACTATTATGAATACTCTAAATTACTTCTAGGATTTACGGAAGGCTGCAGTTCTCATCTTTGCAAACAAGCAGGACATGAAAGGTTGCATGACAGCTGCTGAGATATCTACATACCTCACCCTTAGCTCCATAAAGGATCACCCGTGGCACATTCAGTCCTGTTGTGCTTTGACAGGAGAAGGGTAAATGCTTTCTGCTTAGTACAGTAATATATGGTAAATGAGAATACTGATTTAGAAGCCTATTGACACCAATGTGGATTTCCTGAGATAACATATTTTCTGATCTTTGCAGTCAGAGGGACATTTTGAATTTTTCCTTTTCTTTATTGAACCTTGTGAATTTTTTTTTCTTAGCTCAAACTATGAAATTTGTATGAAAGTCTTTCAGTTTATTGTTAAAAAAACCAAACAAAACAAACCAACAAACAAAACCCAAATAACAACACAAAAAAAAACCCAAAACACCACCACCACCCCCAAATACGTAGCTATTGGCATAATTGTTTACTCTCTGTGCACTACCCTCTCATTCTGTGTGTCTTTGTGTAGTTAAAGAAATAAGCTACTGTCATCTTCATTTACATTCTAATCTGCTGTAAGCTTCTAAGGTGGGGGGGGTGGGGGTGGTTTTGAGGTTTTTTTTGGTTGGTTGGGTTTTTTGATAAGCATTCAAACATAGTTTTGATTAAAAGGTACATAGATCTGGCATAAAACAAAATTGTTACCAATATTAAAGCTTTTATTTATATCTGACTGATGTAGTTAATTTTGAAACTTGTATACCTTATGCCAGCAATTACTAAAATGGAAAGCTGAGCTTTCCTTAGATCCTTTGTCTATAAAGATCAAAAACCATTTTTGGAAGCCTGTAACAAGTTGGATAGTGTCTTGCTTACATGGTTTGAAGTGTGCTGATTTTTCGTCTTGATTCTTAAAGCAGTCTTGTAATGTGTAACAGTTAGAGGGTTTTTTCAGCTGTGTTGTACAACCTTTACAATAATGTGGTCTTGTGACATCAAAAATAGTGAATCCAACTGAGTATTTGGGAAGTGAGAGCATCTTCCTCACTTCGAGCATGAAGTATTTTCTAATGTAATGGAGATGTCTTGTAGAGTGATTGGTAGCATTCACTTCCTTAGGGTGGGATGTGTTAGTGAAAACAAACTGGTTTTTTGATTGAGTCTTTGGATTGTATTGCTTCATTGTAAGAATTAACTCTGCTTTCCTCCTACCAGTTTTGCCAAAGTCGCTTTTGAGTATTTAGTTTATGTACTAACTTAGATCTTCAAATAAGTTGGCATTTGGAGGAAGGTAGAAATTAATGAATATGAACTTTGGTTTAGAAACATTGGCCATCCTAGGCTGCTTCTTCCTTATTTAAAAAAGATGAGCAATTAGAATACTTAAAACTGTGACAGTAGTGAGACCAACTCATAAAAAAATTCCCAGAGTTAGATCGCTGAGCTGAATCATCTTTGGGAAGATCTGACAGAAGTCTAGGGAGATTAGCCCCATGTGAGTGAAGCTAGCCCTCTTGGATAGCTAAGTCATGATATACTTTACAAAGGTAAAGCTTAAAGATGGCATAAACTAGGTAACTAGATCCCTAGAACATCAAAGGAAAGCCTATCTTCTGAAACAGAAGACTTAGAGATGCAAATTTAGTGAGTAAGCAGATTAGATCCCATGCAATCTTGGTGTGGAATATAAACATATTTTTAATTTTGTAACGGGATTTTGGAATTCTTGATACACTGCCTTTTCGTGAACCAATTCAGTCTGGGTACCTATCTTTTGTCTTTTAGTATTAGTATGTAAAGGTGTAGCTTTCAAGTAAGCAGTCTTTCATGGGGAAACCTGTAGAAAAAGAAAAAGTTATCTGGTTCCATGTACTTATGAGTAAGCATGTTAAGAATAGTGTCTTTTAGATTTGCAAGAAAAAAAATTGAAGGAGTACTAAGCTTCAATAAAACAGCATGCTTGACCATCTTGTCGTTAAAGCCTAAGTAGGCTTAGTTTAAAACACTATTTATCTGTTCAAGTTTCAATCCCAATTCCAGCTGATTTTATTTATTTTAAATAGAGGTTTTCAAACATAAAAACAAGTAGAAAATACTTGAAAGATGTTGGAATAGAACTAGTACCAGTATAACATCTCTTATCTTTCAGATTATGCCAAGGCTTGGAGTGGATGACCTCCCGTATTGGAGTGAGATAGCTTCCCCCCCCACCCCCCAAAAAAAAGAAGAGACTTCTATTTATCCTGTGAACATGTACATTTTTCTGTACTTCTGGCTGCTGAGGCAGTGACCATGTTTAATTTATATCAGCCAACCCCCAGCTGTACTTGAATCAAGTGCAGTTGAACTGAAACACAAAGTATTTTCTTAACTTTTTTTAATACACTAATCTTCAACTGGATGAACGTATGTGAATCTGTTTTTAAGCATTGAAATTCCTCTGAATATGTATTCTAACTTTTTCAATGATAGCTTTTTAAAATCTGTTTTGTCATTGTCAATATTTCATACTTCCTCTTTCTAAATAGTTTATATAACTTACTAACGTAAATGAGCACAGTTTGTTTAATAATGAAAAAGTAGTGAGTAGGTTGACTTTACTCTGGCATAGCTTTAGCCTCTAAGGATAACCTATCTCCAGCTGGGCTTTTTGGAACATTAGTAGAGTTTTAGCCAGCATGGGAGTTAATAGTTATGAATGCAAATTTTTAAATGCTGAACGAGTTAGTTATAGTTAATATTGTGGTGGCTTTTAACCTGGTATATAATTGAACTTCTGCCTTAAGAGAAATGTATTTCATTCTCAGTTTCTCTGGTAAGTAGTTCTAGGATATGATTTTTTTTTTTTCTTAAAAATAATCTCTGTACAGTGAATAAAAATTTTGTTATTAAGTGCTGGTTTAGTCATTTAGAACTGGAATACCTTTTTAAATGTAAACCTTTTGATAATTAAATTTGGAATCACGGCAGCCAGTGTTATGTGTAGACTTGCTGTAATCTGTTAAAATTTTAAATGCTGTATACATGAGCCTTCCTCACATTTAGTGAGAGTGCGGTTTTCTAAATGAATGCAAAATCAAAAGGGAAGCCAGATTCATAAACAGAACAAAATCATGGTGCTGTATCTGTAGACTTCGGAGTAAGTTAATCTTGACATTTATTTACCTACTATCAAATGTTTTCAGATTCTGTTGCAGAGAAAATATTTTGCCTTAATTTTTCTTTTTAGCCTTATTTGCAGGAGCAGAGAACTTTTGATGGTGTTTGAGTTAGATTCATTCACCTGAAATTTAGGAACTGAAAGCTGAAGAAGTAGAGAGCTTCCATTTACGAAACAAGTGTTGAAAGATTGGACCTGGTAAATCTTAATTCAGTTTGAAGGGGATGAAGTTAGATCTGTAAAGAGAATCTAAAGCTATGGATGAAGTTAATTGAGAACATTAGCCACCAAAAAAAAAAAACCAACCACAAAACACCCCCAAAAAATCTGAGAAAAAAATAAAAAAGAAAACAAAAACAATAGTGGACACCCAATTCCTAATGAAATCCCAGCAGCAGTCAAGGATTTAACCTACATAAATGCTTGGCAGATTTTCCAAAAGCACCATTCTGCACTTTTGCATGCCTAAAAACCATGTGGAGTCTGGTTACTAAACCATTATGCTAATTGACTAGAGTCCTTTAATGACAAAATGTTGTTGATAAATCTTGTTTTGATAATTCAAGCACACTGAGTTTAATAAAATTTTAAGTTTTGTAAATTTCAATTGGATTCCATCTTTATTTGAACAAAGCTTAACGAAATTTCAAAAGTATCAGCAAATACGTTGTCATAAGTGTTAAAAAGAAGACTTGGAAGACATGTGGAATCAGTCACTGGTTGAAGGAAGTTACATATTAATGCTGGTTAACAAAAGTCACATTTAGGAGAAAGACTATGTTGAGTGTCAAGTCAAAATGCTCAGAAAATAATTTACATCAGTGAAAAGTAGTGCTTAAAGAAATAAGAGGAATGCAAGGCAAGGTTAAAATCTGATACTAAAGCTTCTTGCTCCAATGTTCATGCCTAACAAGTGTTCTAATGTGTGAAAATAAGATTTGTTTTGTTCTTAGGGAAGCAAATTATAAATTAAGACAATAAAATGATACTGTAAATGAAGTTTCTTGTTTGGTGACTTAATTTGTTTGTAATTTAGATTTATTTTCAGGTTCATTTTTATGTGACTCAGAGTGTAGTCCTGAATATGTATAAAAAGCACTATCTGGATGTATAGCCCTTTGTTTAAAAAAAAAAAAGAGCATAATTTTATATTTATATAACACTTTCCAGGTAAAACCATTTGTAAATATAAAGTTTGATTACAAAATCCATTCTCACCTGAGGTAATACATCTAACTTTGATTAGCAGGAAATGGTCATATTGTAGACCTTACAATGTCAGAATAATGAATATTTTCTTTTAATTCCTTAACACGTAAGACCTTTGAGTACCTGTACAGAAGGAAGCATTCTTGACAATAGCTATGATTTTGATCCCCTTACTACTTCATTTTCTACAACAGATTTCCATTTATGATATCGGTTTGTTCACAGCATTTATGCAGTGGTTTGTTTTTTTGAAAAGGGCTTGGTGTGGAGTTTTGGGGGGGTTATTTTTAATCACCTTCAGTTTAACTAAAAGTAGTTAGATTAAAATAACTTTTACAATGGGGTGCTTTAGAACACTGCATGTGTCTTGGCACTGCCAAACACTGCATGATTTTTGTTAATCTGTATGTAGTAAATATATTGCAGGTAGTTTTTGCACTTCGAAAATGTTCCGCATTTAGTATACTGTTCACAAAGAACACTGTTAATCAGCTTCTCAGAGGAAATTACAAATGTAAGGAAACATTTAAAAACATTCTGGAGTAAACTATCACAAAGATTTTTCTCCTAAATAATGTTTTACTCAAAATACAGGATACTGTGAAAGGTAATTGATATGCATGTTATAGTCTAATTTATAAAATCAGACCCATTGTGTTAAAATAATGCATCGTATTATGAGAGAAATAGTTCTGATTTGTTTAGCAGCCTCTATGAGCATGCACCTTTTGAGCAACTTTTGTCATGCTTGGATGAGGTTGGCAGGATCCGCTTTTTGAAAGTAGTCTTTGGAGACTTTTAAGCTGTTTTGCTTAATTGAATTTGCTTAGTTTATTTGAAGTGGAATTAAGTTTTACAATAAGACTTTCCCTTCCCCCTTCCCCGAGGTGTTCGTCTGTAAGCTGTTATTACTAAGTAGATCCAGTAATAATTTTAATGCTTCCCTCCCTGTTAATCATTTTTAAGACTGAATAAAGCCTTATTGCATAAATAAGTACTAGAAAAAAATAAGCTGGCTAATTGAGTAGTGAGTGTACTATCCTTCCTATCTTTTCTGTCCAGCTAACTTCTATCTGTGGGAATAATATATGGTAAGTGAAAACCATTTACTAAGGAAAAAAAATATGTTTTGTGATCATGAAAAGTTGCTTTTCCTTTTGTACCATTTAGCACATTAAAGTGGGTCATTTGTGGTTGAGAAGGAAACAGTTTCCTTTCTTTACCCTACAGTTACTGTAGCTTGCAAATATTCAAGTGTTCTCTATTATAATTTCATATACTGAATTTTCAAAAAGTTCATTTGCTCTTCGTAAACTCAAATGCCCCCTGTAAAACATGCAATTTGAATTTTTTCCAGTTTTGAAAATAAAATTTCTACAGTCAAACTGGTAGTCATTTCATCATGTAAATATTGTAACAGACACTAAAATAGGGTTTTGGGGTGGAAAAAAGCTGTGAAAAATTACTTCAGTGTTTGATTTTGTGCTCTTCAAGTAATTTTTTTTAAGAGGCTGTACTTTCATTTCTGAAATGAAAGTTTCTGAGTTTTTTTTTGTTAAGCTTCTGGACAAAACATGACTTGTAGACAAATATTTACAGACAGATCAGTAATAAGTTGTGTTGTGAAAATGGGCGTTGAGGGTGGGAAGTACAGCCAGTTGAATTCCTGTTTTTCTGTTCAGTCCAAACACTATTTCATAAGGATAGGCTTTAAATAGTAGATGCTTTTTCGGTGTCTTTGCCTAGTGTGTTAATTTTGACCTTCTTAATGTAACGTGATATGTTTCCTTTTTCCCCAGCAATTCCAGAAATCTTCCCAAAGAATAAAGGGTTTTGAAGATGTTCTCAAAGCAGAAGGGCCAGAGTAGCAAAATAACTATGTGCCTGTATTTACATGCTGTTACCTAGACATGATGCATCCCTCGCATAGGAATACACTTCCTGAAACGCTGAATAAAGTTGCTTTCCTGAAACCATACTTTTTATCACATTTAAAAAAAAACAAACCAGAAACCTCACATGCTTGTTGGCTTCAGTTTCTTAAGTTAATGGAAGGATAAGCATATGTTAAATGAAGAGAAAAGTTTGTAGATTGCAAGCCAACGAATTACAGAATTTTGGGTAGTTCAGAACTTCCGTAAGACTATACAAATGTCACTGTAGATAGTCAAATCTGACACAAAATTGCTTTGTTTTCAGAAAACTAAAGCTGGAATGTGTCAGCTTTCATAGGCGCAAAAGTTCTTCTTTTGGCTGAATGTGACTTCTTTAAGTGCAATGTTCAGTGTGTTTGAGAAGTCCTGAATATGTATTTTAGGTTTTTTTTCACTGTTCACGAGTGTGTTCATGGCAGTTTGCGTTAAGGGTGTAGCTTATCTTAGTCTCTCTACTCACAACAGGAGGTCAGGCTTAGGAAACAAGCTGTCTGGATTTCTTGATGGTGCCTTACTACCTTTCCATCCTGTCTGTAGTTTGAGCCATTATCCTTTTTAGTTCTTTTTTCTCCCCACCCCCTACCCCCGGGTATTGTTGCCTTGTACTGTCTTGTCTAAAGATGCTGACAAAGGCATGTGAGGTACTGTACAAAAAAAAAAAAGTGGTCATACACTATAGGTTTTACCAAGTAAGCTGCATTTTCTTCATACAGCTGTCTTGCTAAATCCAATCTCATTTCACTGTTATCTCCCTTTTTTTAATATTTTTTTTTTATATGTACCTTAAGTACCTTCTCTCAGTTTGTCGGTGTTCATGTTTACCCGCTAGCCCCGAGCAGTCTCCATTTCCAAGATGTTGCTGACACTTACCTGGGGTTCTAAAGAGTCCCCTAGCTGGATGTTCTACAGAACCTGGACAACAGTTTCTGGTACAGGGGCAGAGATTTCCTGAAGTTCAGCCAGGCAGGTGGTACTAACACTCGGGATCCATGTCACAGCTTACTCCAGTATCTGTGGGCACTAGCAGTTTTCTAGTTTTAATCTCTGCAAGTTCTTATGTATCAAATTTAAAGCTCACTATTGACCACTGGGATTTTTTCTTCTGAAATGTGTGCTGTTATCCTGATCTTGCAGGAGACCTTCCTCTTTTTTTTTCTGTGAATAACAAATTCCGCAAATACAATACCGAGATTTTTTTTTTCCCCAGCAGCAGTGTTGGTCTAGTGTTAAAACTCTGTTTGTGCTGTGCAATCATATACTATGTTCCAGTTCAAGAAATTAAGGTGTCTTATACAGATTTATATTACACTGCTGTAAATGGGTTGGCATGTGGCTTTTTATTTGTTTATTTTTTGGAATTTCTTGCTTAGGTGGTAAAGAGCTTCAGTATCCCCAAGCCAGTGATTCTTTCCAGCTATTTAAGCACACTGCACACAGTAATGAGAAGAAGACTTGGGCAGAGCTCAAAATTTTTTTTATCAAAATAAAATTAATTAAAGAGTTGTTCCATTAAATTTGGGGGTTTTTTTGTTTGTGTTTGTTCTCTGGTGAAGAGGTATCAAAGTAGTATAACACTGTGACTTTAAGTGTAGGGGTTAGGGAAAGCATTTAATCTTCAATCCCTTCACTGGGGCAGAATTGGGGCTTGCATCTTGTGCAGCTATAGCCAGTTCGTGAAACATCTTGGTTGGACACCTGCTTCCTTTCATCCCAGGAGAAGCTCCAACTTTGATCTTAACGAGACTTTCACATCGTTTCAGCCATGGGAAGCATGCATCTTTGTTTGTTCTAGTGAAGGGTGTTTGTTTTAGTGGACTGTTCCCTTTTCAAAGTAAGAGCAAAACAAATTCAAATGGAAGAGGAGGAAAAAACTTGTTTGGATTTTTGTGTGTGCATTTGACTATGGTTAGCATTTAGCTGAGTTTGCTCTTTCATTTTGTAGAGTCTGCCATGTGAAAGAGCCTGGAAGGCAACAGTGAAGAGAGCAAATATGAAAAATGTGACCACGATGTCAACACTAGCAATAGGAACTTGCATCTTGGAACAACTTTAAACTTTTTTTTAAAATTAACTTGATGACTTTTCGACATTGAGCGTTTCTCTATTTTGCTTGTTAGGGTAGAGCAATAGAAAGGTGCATACTGTCTGCACAGTGTGTGGGGCTGGTTGTTACACACTAAGTTTCTGCCCTGTCCACCGTACAGGCAGCAGAACGAGGCTCTGAGGAAGGTAGTGCTTCACGTAAATGATGTATCGAAAAGTAAGTTCTGACACTGAGCTAAGTTTTCATAATATCGGGTGTGATGCAACTTTTGCTTTTTCTGACTTTCTTCCTTTCTGGGACCACAGACATCTCCATCCTTTCTTTTTATCTCTGTATTGGCTGTCGATGGCTACATGCTGTTTATAGCAGCATAGATCTTGCTCTCTTGAGGTATCCAGGAAAATCAAAAGGCTTTTCATATAGCTGAGTAGCTCAGAAGACGTGGCTGTGTGTCATAAAAGCGAAGCTTAAATTGTCAACTCAATATTTTTGCTGGGCATCTAACTGAAATTTACTGTAGAAAATTTTAGGGTTATGCCAGAATTAAACTGTTATACATCTGGTCTCTAATAAAATACTTGTGCTACTCTTCAGTTAGGCTTGTTTCTTGATAGTTGTGCTACTCTTCAATTAAGTTGATTTTTGTTTTGCTGTGTAGGGATAAGCATTTCAAAGAGAAAGTTTTCCTATATGTAACTGTGAAGACAGTCCTCTGTTCCTCCATTTGCACACCAGTATGTGTCCCCTAGATGGCAGGAAAGGATCACTTTAACAGTGCCAAACCTGCATTAACTTGTGTGCTTCAGCATCGA